GGGCGGCGGGGGGTACGTGCCGGCGTGCGACGCGCGCGGCTTCTACCGGCCGCGCCAGTGCCACGCGGCGCTGGCCGTGTGCTGGTGCGTGGACCCTCACGGCCAGGAGCTGCCCGGCTCGCGGACGAAGGGCGCGCCGGCCTGTCCCGGTGCGTATGAATGATGTATTGAGACACGCCGACACCGGGAAGCGACCTAATATGCTGTTGTTCCGGAAGTGTGAGCTCTTTTTATACAGACAAGGAGATACAATGTTCAGATGTTTATTTTTTATGTATGATTTAAACGAGTGATATAACCTGATGTAAGTCTATGTCCCTATAAATCTTCACTGCTTAGCAATGGCATCTTCTCATACGTAGAAAGTTTGAATCATTAAGTTTGCTCAAGACAAATGGACGATTTCCTTGACACATCTCCAGTTTACACGTTACGAAGTGGTCAATGAAGCACGGTAGCACGGTGCGATAACGTGCCATACACGGTACGTCGACGTAACGTGCAAATTGATATTGACGTAACGTAGATATAAATCCATGCCGTGACGAAGCAATATGCCAACCACTTTTATCAAGTATTTATTTAGAACCATTTTTTTTATAATATTACAGATTAATTCTCTACGGACTCTAGGTCCGTGCCCTTGTCATATAATTTTTTTTATTATAATACATAATAAAGTAAAGAGGGTACCTAGTTACACACTACAATGACCTACATCTATAAAAATATTACCAAAAGTATAAATTACATAATAATTAGGCATTATTTATTTCTATTTCAAAGGCTTCATGAAATCAGCCCACCAACAAGTTGGGAGAGCCGACCTGACCCAGCAGAAGGCACCCGTTCTCGAGTATCCGGTCAGTCTCATCACCTCTAGGTAGCTCTGACCACTGTCTGGTGAAATCTGTCCCACCAGATCCGAGTCCCAGAGGACCTCGGCGGATGTGGCGATACAAGTCAGCAGACTGGGATAGGATGCGATCTTTTTTCGCATCCTATCCTTGGCGGAGCGTCTGCTTCTCTTCTGATGACCCGTCAGCTTGTGCGGAAGCCGTAACGGGAGTGCTGCGCCAGGGCATGGAATACTACATTCTATTCTCGGACGTGGCTTCCTTTGGTGGGACCCGTCCTTGGTTCGATGCCGACTGCGGACTTGCCGAAGCGCAAAAGCAGGCGGCATACTTGGCATGGGCGGCGGCATGCCAGGCGCCGTAGGGCTGGTGACATTCATCAAAAGAAGAGAGCCTTTAATAGGGCTGCCAAGTCATGCAAAAAGGCATTACGGATATCTCGATTTAACCACATTGGCCGTATAGGGAACAAACTAGCTTCCTACTCAGCGCGAAGTAAAGCTTTTTGGTTCCTGGCCAAGGCGGTTGAATCGAACTTCTGTCGCTCCTCACTTCCTCCGCTCCTGAGGTCTGGACACACAGGACAGACACAGGACGCTGGCTCACACTGCGGTAGAGAAAGCGAATCTATTTGCTTCTCTATTTGCGAAGTCTTTGCGTGTTGACACTGGTGGCGCCTTGCCTCCTTCTTTTAATAGCGTATGCAAGACGCATATTTCGCAAATTCGCATTCGACAGAGGGAGGTATATAAGACGCTACGCGATCTGGACGTGAACAAGACCATTACCGCCCTATTTTGGTCACGTCCATACTCTGCAAGAGCATGGAACGCGTACTTAACAATAGACTCCTAGCATACCTTGAAGGTAACGATCTCCTCAGCGATCGGCAATACGGGTTTCGACGTAACCGATCGACTGGGGACCTTCTTGCGTATGCCACTCACATAATATGGAGCGAGGCCATAGAGGGGCACGGGGAGGCATTAGCAGTCTCCCTCGATATTTCGAAGGCCTTTGACAGGGTATGGCACGACAGTCTAATCGGCAAGCTTCCTGCATATGGACTTCCTGCTGATCTGTGCAGATGGATAGCAGACTTCCTAAGGGATCGGTCAACACGAGTAGTCATCGATGGCTCTTCGTCTGACCAATTCGATATCAATGCCGGCGTCCCGCAGGGGTCAGTACTTTCAGCGACGCTCTTTTTGCTGCACATAAAGGACCTGCTTAAGCCCGGTATCTTTGGGTATGCAGATGACAGCACAGTTGTTTTAAGGTATGTGTCCGATGCGCGGACTAGCGAACACAGATTCGATCTTTAAGAGAATCCATTGTCGAACGTTTCAACAACCACATTCGCCCACGAAAGTCCCTGTGCCTCGTGTATTGTGAGCACGCGTGATCGTGTAATTGTGTATGTGTATCGTGTAATCGATAAAGTGTCGGGGAGTGACTTTGGAATCATCGCCCCCGAGAACCTTTTTATCTCGAGGGATCTCACGAACGACCAGGGCGCTTACTCTTGAATCCAATTCCGATCGATCGACATTGATATTGTGAAATTTCGTACTCTTGAGGTGCAATACTGGCGCCCATTGCATCCGTATTGCGTGAATATTTAATGAACTAAATGGTATTGAGTTTGGCTTTATATTCCTCACTCTGAATGCTATTTTAATAGGATATCCTATCGTATCATAGGATAGGAGTTGTATAGTTTGGACATTGAATAATTATTGAGATTTTATTGGATTGAAACTGCATTGACATTGAGATTGGTTTCAAGAGTAAGCACCCTGGACGAGTATATGCCACTGTAAACTGTGCTGAGGGCATACGCCACATCCATTGGATTTCTGTGAGTACACATCAATTCCTGGCTTATGGGTGTGATAAATGTAGGGCGGCTGTAGAGCAGTGGGAAGAGGTTATCACGGTCTATAAACGAAAGCTGATTCATGTCACTAATTAGAAAGACTTCTTTGGCTCGAGTTATTCGGGCGGCCATCACAACGGCTCCAAAGTGGTTCATGAGAGCCTCATCTACCATTAGTCGATGGCAGCTCTCTCGCTCCCCCAAGCCGTTTACTAGGATGGACGTCATTATTCGAACCCTAGATTTGCCGAATCCTCCGATTCGGCAGGATAGTTTGATTTAGAACTATTTAGTACGCTCACGAAACCCGAAACCGAAACTTGTTTTTTGCAATATTTACACCCTCTTTACATGCCTCTAATATGGGAATCTTGACGCATATACCTACGTATTATCGGTATTGTTATCTATAATTTGATAGATGAATATATATTTGTCAGCATTTCAATGGGTCGCTTGTAACTCACACATGGTGGGTTTGATTACAGGTGAAAAGTCTATGGCGGACGTGGAGGGCGGCGAGGAGGGCGACCCGAGCGAGGCGGGCGAGGAGGGCGAGGCGGGCGAGGCGGGCGAGGCGGGCGCCCAGGGCGCGCCGGACGACGACGAGGACGGCGCGGGCAGCGGGGACGCAGAGCTGCACTTCTAGTCGCTCTACTAGCTAATTGTGAACCCTACAATTAGAAATAGTTACTAAAAAGTCGAAATCATTAAATTTGTATTTCATATTTATTTGAATATCATGATCAAAATTAGGTGTCTTCTTCTCTTTTAACCGGACATGGGTAGGTAGTAATAAACTAGACTCATCACGTAGATATTTTTCAAGAAAACGCCAAATCTCATAACTAATCGAACGATTCGACTAATCGAATCCCTAATAATAAATCAAAAGTTCTTTATCATCGTAGATAAAGTTATTATTAATTATTATTATTAACCAATTTGATATGAACATTCGAGTTTTTAGACATATTGATTTTTTATTATTTCACATTCGGTTTGGTGAAAGTACCTACCTATCTAATTACTCCGATTACTTAGTAGGTACCTTCTCCTGAAGGCGAACGGAAACCTGACCAAACCGCAGTCGCCGCAGTCGAATTGTTTATTTAATGAAGTTGTACGAGTAGGTTAGGATTGTATCAATTGTATACAACCTCGCATTCACCGCCACAGCGCCTGAAGCGGCCAAACTGATGACGTCACCGATGCCGGCCGCCCGCATTGAGCGCAGCGTGCCAGCGGCCGATGTCCCTGGCATGAGTATGAGTGGCGCGGCTGACGTCACTGGCATGAGTATGAGTGGCGCGGCTGACGTCACTGGCATGAGTATGAGTGGCGCGGCTGACGTCCCTGGCATGAGTGGTACGCTCTGTGAAAGTAAACTAGTGCATTGCGTGCGGCGACCGCGGCGGCAAGCAGTGCGTTTCCCCGTATATACATATATATATATCGTATATATGTACATACGTATATATGAGCGCGGCGTGTGTGTGGCCTGGTCCCGCGGAGGACGACTACAAACGCGTGCGAGATGTTAGTGACACTAGCAGGAGCACAAGATGATTTCATGTGAGGTTATGCTTATCAGTTTAGATATTCAGGCCCTTTGCTGATCTATATCTACAACTATCTTATATGTACCTATTATAAAATTGAATTAATTCAACGGCAGTCACCATACTCCCCACCGTGTTATACATACGTACGGATCCAGAATAATATTACTACCTACATTTGTGTGTAAATAAGTAAAGAAATTTTAACTGTAAAATAACGCAAGTATAATTAAACTTAGTCATACATAAATATTACTTATACATTATTAAATGTGTATTAGCACGTAAGTTTTTAAGAAGGGCCTGTTTCGTGGACACCCACGATCTGGTCGTACATAGATAGTCCGTAGTCGTACTAGACGTGACTATGTTACACGGTACAGGCCCGTCTTACTTTCAGTATGCTTCCGTTGCCAAGACCCCGCTAAATCGTAATAAGTAGGTAATGGAATGTTCCTTACCTAATTAGGCAATAATTATAATTAAATATTACCTGTTACCGTAGGTACAATAACGTAGATTTTGCTTTTGTTAGAAATTCAAACAGCATACGATAATAATTATGCCACGGTTATAGGCATGTCGCGGAAGAATAATTAGGTAAATTCTAAATTAGAGTACTTAGGTACCTATTGCTGCTTTTCTTAACTACTTATTTAGTACCTGCGTACCTAAGGAACAATGACAAGATGTAACTAGGTAGGTACTACATATTCGACTTGGTCATGGTTACTTGAAATAAAACCACTGTTACTGTGCTATATAAGTATATAACCATGTGACCGGCATGCCACCGGCACCCGTGGATACAATCTGTTTAACCGTGATCACTGTTTTGTTACTTTGCTTTATTCCGTTGCAACACTGCAAATAATTTGGCCTAAGAGAATAGATAATGTATTCTATTCATTGATATGTAACCGTCCCCCTAAAAATCTGCAACTGTTTAAATAATAATTAGTGTAGAAATAGATCACTACAAATGTATCTAGATGTAGCCAAGTCGATACTCGCCTATCTACTTAACTACTTTTTCAAATGCAAATTTATAACGACAAAGAAATAAAAAATACCTACAATTGTTTAAATGATTGACTACAAATAAAATTAATTATTGTTTATTTATTCAGAAGTACCTTTATTATTTACCTTCACGGCTTTCCAGGGCCAAACTGGATCAAAAGACCAGCCTGTCTTGATGCCAGCTTGACGATGATAACGACAAAACATTATTTCAATAAAGCACGGACACTTTAAATGGACAGCAAAACCAGAACTTAGGTACTGTCTTACAGTCACATACTTGATGTTTGTTTAATCGTTTGTAACATTCAGGGGGTTAGATTTTATGTATTTTGTAATTTTTTGCTGTCAATATGTTTAAAGTGTCTAGCAGGAAATTCTGTTAACAGGTGTCCGGCAGTAATTATTCATTTTTAATTGTTTACAAAATTTTCTAACACTACATAATTAACCCTTTAACCGCCAAGATTTTGAACTTTCAACTTACCTCCAGCGCCACGTCACTTTAGGTATAAGTTGGAACAGTGTTGGGAACACTTAATATCGATGCATACTTATATTCTTTAAAAATTAAAACATTAAAATCAATGTTTTATTTACCTACTTAATAAATAATCTAAAAATATTCAATCTTCAAACGAAGTATACGAAAATGTGTATTCGGGAAATGGGCACGCCGTCGTCCGTTCTCCTGCTGGCGACGGTGACGATGCTCCACGAGCATGTCGTATTAAATTTAACTCGTCGAGTACCGGTTTTGTAGACACAATTATAGAACAATAGGTTGCGGTCACCGGTGACCGTTTGGTGTTTGACAGTTTAATATTTTCATGTAAACTTCTGAGCGGATTTCCGACAGTGCGGTTTCCAGCTCAAAAGGTTTTAAAGATGCATCATTTCGTGGATCACTTGGTCTCTGATCAAAAACTTTTGCGTCACCATCTTCTAACTTTGCATAATGGACACATTTGGTTTTGACTGTGTTGATTTATTTGAGAAATAACAAAAACCCAAAAAAGGGTTTACAACACTAGTTGCATTGAGTGATAAATGTTTAACGTGATTTTACGGTGACGGCGCTAAGGCAACTCACAATACAGCGCTATAATCTCCTTGGCCGCACGTAATATTACGATGATGGCGACCGGCGATTGTCCGCACTAGTGCGGTTCTGCGTTATGAAATTTTTATATTATTGTTATAAATATTAAATAATTTTAAACTTAAATACATTTTAATTAGTACAAATACTTGCATCAAAGTAACACTATGGTTATTTTCTAATGAAAGTATACACTTTCATTGCAAATAGTGACAGTAATATCTATAGTGCCTTGTTTGTTCTTAGACAACCTATTAAGTATTTTTCGAATTCGCCCCATCCCTAGTACTCGTAAAATTACGTGATTGGCGATACAGATAATGGAGACGGTGACCACAATTTAATTAAACCTCAAATTTTACAGTATTTATCACTCAAAACATTGAGAAATATCCATAACAATAAAGATTATACCCTACATCTTGAAATTGACACATTTTATATGGAGTTTGTGCACTATGAGAAGATTTTTAATAAAATAACGTGATTGTACGTATGTGGCGATTCGGACACAGCTTTCGAAAACCGTAATATTACGTTGTCGGCGGTTAAAGGGTTAATAATTATGGTGCCTAGGTATACGTAAGTTACAATCAGACTTCAATTTAAAGCCTGGTATGTATCTGAGATAAGTCTGTGTCGGTCGGCCGGCTCGATCAGAGTGAATACCACGGCCGAGCAGAAAATCGTAGCGAAGCAACGATTGCGTCGTGTGTGTGAGGTTACCGAAGGCCCAAATAACCCCCCTTCAACTCAAAATCATATATTTCAATTAGACCAGGAAGGCACATTTGATTTGAAGAAACGAGCAAGAAACTCCACAGCTTACTCTTTTTCAATCATGTTCACAATACAATTTTTGATTACATTCTTTCGTTGAGTTTAATTATGTGAGAACAGTGTAATACCAATGTTTGGTCAAGAACACGGAAAAAGAAAATAACCTTGAGGAAAACAAATTTAATAGGTACACTCTGGAGCTGACCAGTCCTATTTGACAGCGCCCGTTCACGAACATGACACGTACCTACACCAGCACCGCCCAACTCAACCACTGCCCGTGCCACTGCCAATGAAACTTTTGCGTGAGCATGACAACTCCAAGCTGAATTCCCAATCCCTGAATCCCCAACAATCCTTAAACTCCTAATCCCCAAAAGGCCTGTAAACCTGTACTCACTTGTAACACCTCTGGTGTTCTATCGGGAACGGAATCCGGATGACACGGAACGCGCGCTGATTGCATCAGGTGATCCCACAGAATATAGGTATATACCCTGGTTGATCCGTCTGCTCGTTTACCGGCTTATCCCATTAACAAAAGGTTTTATTTTTTAAAGATAAGATAATAAAATAAATAAAATGTGTATAATAAAATTAGCCATTATTCTACCACAAAACATGCTCACAATATTCCAATTATTATATTTATTTCTAATTATTTAATTTAGTTTATTCAATTTTATCAATTTCTTTGCCTATATGTATATTATTATTTTTTTAATAAATATTACATACATAACTTCACGCCTGTCTCCCGTGGGGGTAGGCAGAGACTAAGGAACTAAATAAATATTAATATTTCTAAAATGTGCAATTAATGTATTGTGGAAATACAGGTGACATAAAAATACAGGTTCAGCCATGTTTTACCATTTAAGCACCCATGCAATATGCAAATGATATACCTACGTGTGACTGATAGTGAAATGCATTGGATAATGTTTTTACATTTTGCGCATGAAATGTGACGTCACCAAGTTTAGGATCCCCACCCCCTAGTCATACTTGGTCGACCCCGTCAAACGTGTGACGTAATTTATGGATGAACTAGAAGTTAGAAGCCATTGTTATCGCATTTTTATGAATCTTGGTTACCTTACCTCCTTTTATAGTAAAATTGTATTGGAAAGTTACACGACTATGATATGACTACGACGGGCAAGAAGCTGGGAAGAATGTATAAACCTCAATGCACGATTTTTTAAAGTAGGAAATAGGAATCTAGATAATATTTACCGAAGTAAATAGGTATAGTGGTACCTAAACAACGTAAAGGCTTCGAGCGATTTTGGCCAAACATGAAAAAAGACGGGGCAATATCTTCTTATCTACGTTGGTATATTTTTATTGCAAGAACACAAGACTCACTTAAGAAACATGTAGGCAATAGTTTAGCAACTAATATTCTTGTTAAATTGTTCTCGTACCTTTGTTAATGTAGTAAATGTAGTAAATGTTAAAAACTATTGGACAATCACCAATCTTTGGATTTTTGATTTTGAAAAATTTTCCATAGGTATTACCGTCAGTCGAACAGTACAGGCTGGTATTTAATTTGTATAGAATAGACCTGTAACTGGCGAAGTATGGCGTATCAGATAGTCAGGTGTGTGGCGCATCTTATATTACACGCTCCTGCCCTCCGAAGGGCCCAGGCGCAATTATCTTATGAATATTTTGTAACTAGATTTATTTAATAGATTGATAATTATTCTAAGTTGTAAGCTAGTAAGTACATACAAATACCATTTAATCACATTTGTTAGAAGATTATTTGCACTTTTTTAAGTATGTCACTACTCTAATAAATGAATAAAACCTATAGATTTTTCTTTACATCAATACATAAAGTTAAATATGTAGGTATAACCACCCATGTATGAACATTTATCTTTGTAATAAAGAAATAGACGAGATACTTTTGATAGTTTTCAAAGAACACTGTTAGGAAACCTGAACTTGGTTTGAAATCACCAACCTGGTGGTGATTAATGCTCAAATCTTTTCTCCTTGAGAAGAGGCCTGTACCTATTGATGTTATAGGTTGAATGATGGAGTTTTTTGCTCCATCTTCATTTGAAACTATAACTATACCTCATTAAAACTATATTATGAGGTGCTCATTACAAAGTGTAGTTTGACTGAAAACCAGGCAGGTTGGCCATTTGATTTTGACATTTTATAAATGCTTGGATTAATAGAAATAAATAAGTTATTGCTTTGACTTTGTTTAACGTCTTGTATGCCGGTATATAAGACACAATAGAAAACACATTGGTCTATGTAGGTATCTGTGCTCCAGTTTAAAAGGTATTATCAACTTGGCTTACTATAAAGCTGTTTTTTTTATGGAATAGGAGGTAAAAGAGCAGACGGATCACCTGATGTTAAGTGATCAGCGCCGCCCATGGACAACCGCAACACCAGAGGAGTCACAGGTGTGTTGCCGGCCTTTCAAAAAATGAGTATGTTAAGGTTAAACTACATAAATCTCACTCAATTGCTTTGAAAATATGAAACTTCTGTAAGGTATATAAAAACATACTATGGCGGACTTAATGCTGGGTGGCATTTAACATTAGAACCATTTGGAGCCATGTCATGATTGTTATTCTTTTGTATATGGTTTCCTTGTCTAAATAAAGTAAGACTACAGTATAAGTTGCAGCATACTTCTATTATCATTCTAAGTACCTGATAACAAATACACCAGTTAACACTATGTTTTATATGCCGGTGAAAACATTATTAAATAATTTTTTACTATTACGTATAGGTTATTTAACGATATTCTAATACTCACACTCTAAGGATAAAAAAACAAGAGACAAATAAACATTGCTTAAAGATTATAATTACATGATCTAAATAAATATACAATGTACTAGGGTCACATAGATTTACTTTTCTTCGTCATCTTTAAACTTTCCTCCATAAAATGGGATGTTGGCGCAGAACAGCTTCCAATCCGTGAAGTAGAGAAGACCAGTGAAAGCCGCACCTCCAAAGCCGACGGCCGACGTAGCGAAAGACGCTGCGATCTCAACGTGTTTCTTTCCCAAACGACCCAACATTTTGTTCAGTATATGATTGCGTTTTAATCTTTGAAAATATATCGCACTTTTGTGGTTACGTAAATCTGTACTAACTACAGTTCCTTCCTTCAAGTCAGTGACACTGACACTTGACAGTGGTTGATTGACATTTGATGGTTTGACATTTGACAGTTGACACTAATAGTTGAAAATAGTGAAAGCGTCATGGTCATGGCGCATCCGTATACTTTTTTTTTATGGAATAGGAGGCAAACGAGCAGACGGATCACCTGATGGTGAGCGATCAGCGCCGCCCATGGACACCCGCAACACCAGAGGAGTCACAGGTGCGTTGCCGGCCTTTTAAAAAGGAGTACGCTCTTTTCTTGAAGGTTTGAAGGTCGTATCGGTTCGGAAATACCGCCGACGACAGATCATTCCACAATTTTGCTGTGCGAGGCAGGAAGAAACTACGTGAACTACGTGAGAAGCGCACAGTTGTGGCCTGCCAACCATCTATATGATGGGGATGCACATGCTGTCGTGAGGGTCGATGGCGAAAAGATGCGGCAGGTATCAGGTCAAACAATTCCTCAGAGCACTCCCCGTGGTATAAGCGGTAGAAAATGCACAATGAAGCTACATCTCTAAGCATTGCCAAAGTGTGGAGCCGGTTTGAAACATCCAGACATCCAACAATCCAACGGCACGCCGCTGATTGCGGTCCAGAGGAAGAAGCTGGTACTGGGGTGCCCCCGCCCAAAGATGAGAACAGTATTCCATGTAGCGCCGCGCCTTATAGAAGCAGGCGGTGGGCCGGAGTGAAATACTGCCTCGATCTATTGAGCACACCAAGCTTCCTCGAGGCTAATTTGGCCTTGTCCTCTAAATGACCGCAAAACTTTGGTCCACTACTTCACTTTGGTCCTATTTAATCAAGAAAGAAGGACAAACCTCTCTATGAAATACTATGAATGTTACCGACAAACAAGACAGGGGACCGAAACTTACGATAAAAAATGGTAAAATCAAGTTTGTAGCGTTAATTTAATTAATTTATTTATTTAGTTTAATTTTTTGCTTTACAACATGTATCAAAGTATGACATTGATTTTTGTTGTTTTTTAGTCTTTTTATTTATTTGTTTAGTTATCACTACTATACTTTTAAAATATTAAAAATGACAAAATATAACCACCTACATAATATGTCGTAACAACTAACAAATTATCCGTTAAAAATGCATTATCAAAATGTAGTATACAGTGATTATTATTATTACCTCTTTTTGTAAGATTACGAATTTTTAGAACGTTTCAATATCTGCCATTCACTGTAATTTGTCTTTGGCATTTCTCAATGACAAATTGAACTGTCAAATTAATGTCAATGTCAGTTTTTAAAAGTAAACTCAAATTTACTATTGGAAGGGCTGTGTAAATAAATATATAATTATTTTTAGTTAAATTCGGAGATTAGTGTTGCAAAGCATAGCTCGACTACGTCTGAGGTAGTGTGCATAGCAAGAGTTCGTCTTCGCATTGAAGGTTCGGTCTAAATCGTTCAGTACTGCTACTGCGGCGGCGGCGCTACCGCAATCAATCACGGTGTTCGCGATGTGGGATTCGTCAGCGTTCTTGGGTGCGCTGACACCCAAGTTCTACGTCGCACTCACGGGCACCTCTTCGTTGATCTCTGGGCTAATCCTGATCTTCGAGTGGTGGTATTTCCGCAAGTATGGCACGTCATTCATCGAGCAGGTGTCACTCACGCACCTCGGGCCGTGGCTGGGCGGCGGCGGCCCGGCGCCGGAGCCGGACGCGGCGGAGTGCAAGGTCTGGCGCAACCCGCTGTCGCTGCTGCGCGGCGCGGAGTACGGGCGTCTGTGGAGCGCCGCGCGCCGGGCGCCGCTCACGTACTACGACATGAATCTCTCGGCGCAGGAGCACCAAGCTTGGTTCGGCTGCGGAGCTGAGGTATTGCTCTTGCCCACCTGATGTGCCCACTGACTAGCCTGTACTTGGTTAGGACATCCTGGCACACATGCTAAGCATATTTGCTCCAAGGATAGATATTTGCTTTTGGAGTAGTATTACCATTATTTGACTGCATGGATGGAACAGTAGTTGCTGTGAAACGTGTTGTGGGTTCGATTCCCGTGCCGGCCAAAACATAACAATGGCATTTTCTGAGCAAAGTGACCATTGTTAACTTCAAGAAATTTGGCGGTGTTTCACCCTGATCTCTTCGAAAAGTAAACTCATGTTGTTGATGTATTTGTGTGCACACAGTATATAAAAGGTAAATTCTAAAATATTACTGTATCATCAAATAGTGGTTTTGTACAAATTTTGGCAATTAGTGTATAGATATAATTAAAAATGATAAATTGTTTACTTTAATTGAATTGTGGAGTAGTCACAAGCATAACTGTTAGGTCCTTACTCAATTTATCAAGCAATATTGAAAGTGCTGAGTAGTTACTAGCTAGGAGTATGGCATTCTGCCTGGTATGTGAACATGTAAACCTGTGCCTGCCACCTCCTTTGCATAAATAAACTGTTAGTTTGCTCAAATTAATTATTACAGTTTAAACTGTCAAATACCAAGCGGTCACCGGTGACCGCAACCTATTGTTCTATAATTGTGTCTGCAAAACCGGTACTCGACGAGTTAATGCAATTTTTCTGCAAAGAAACTTCTTTGTTTTTACAACAATCAAACAGACTACTATGCTATGTGTTTGACCAATCTGCATTTTGTATTGCACTCTGAGGAATGTTTTTTGTTTGAATGAATACATTATTATCATAAATACCAAATTTTATTTTTCTGCATCCTTTTTTATGATATTCACTATGTCAAATTGGCACAGGCAATGCATTAGACAATAGTTACTTCTACCTTTTTCGTTTTATTTCTACTACTTTCTTCCCTGAAAAAGTCTCAATTATTAATTGTAATTCTCTAATCTTAAGGATTATTTCTCAAATCACCTTGCAAGCAATGTTGCTCATTTGAGCTCAAGACATCATTATGTTATAGAACTGATGATTTGGGTTTTTGGAATCAATCAGTAAAGACTATTTTTAACTAAAGCATAGGTTTTAGTATAAAATAACATGCGAATCGGTAAGAATTAAGCAGCGGGCGGTCCGGTCCTCGGCAGGGCCCTGCGGAGGAGGCCATGGCGCGCGCCTGGCGCGAGCGCGAGCCCGGCGCGCGTGTGGCCGCCGCGCGCGCCGCGCTCGCACTGCGCAGCGACTGCGCCGCCGCGCTGCTGTTGCTGGCCGAGGAGGACGCGCCCACCGTGCACGAGGCCGAGCGCGTGCTGCGGCGCGCCTGGCGCGCGGCCGAGCAGGCGTGGCGCGCCTCGGCGGCGGCCGG